TCGCTGCCTTTCTTATTTGCGTTGGTGAACATTTGTTGTTAAACATGTGGTTAGCAAAATTTGACTCTGGTATTGCGCTCGGTTTCTGTGTCTTTTTGTTATAGTCTCTTATATGCTCGCGGAATCTTGTTTTTATTTTACGTCCTGTTTGACCTATGTAACTATGCTGGCATTTGCAAGTTAGTTTATAGACTCCTTGTTTATCCAATGGATCTTCTTGATTTGTGGTGTTCCGTAGTATCCGTCCCACGTTGTTATTTGTTCTGAATGATGTGCGAAGGTTGTGTTTCTGGAACAGCTTTGCAAGTTTGTACGTTGACTTTCCAGTATAGGTTAATACCGCCCAATTTTTGTTATTGTTTTCTTCTTTGTTTGGCTTTTTGTTTTTGTGCTCCCTTCGGATTTCTTCTACCAGATCTCTTTTGTATCCGTTATTAGCCGCTATGGCATATATTGCGTTCAGTTCTTTGTTGTATCCTTCTTTTGTTAGTGGTATTCGCTCAATTCTATTGATCATCTGTCTAAAGGCGGCTTTTTTATGCTGATGAGGATGGTTCGATGTATTATGTACTATTGTATCTGTGGCTGTGGGCTTCCTAAAAATTTCATATTGCAGACTGCTGGTGCTTTTATTTATTTTTATCGTCAGATCTAAGTAATTTATCTTTCCTTGCATTTCTTGTTCCATTGTGAATTTTATATTGCTGTGCTGTTTGTTGAGGTATTCCAATATCTGTCCTTCATTTTTCTTTGTTATAAGACATATGATGTCATCTACGTATCTGGCGTAGAACGTCGCTCCTAGTTGTGATGTAAGATACTCCACGTACCTTTCTTCCAAATTCTGCATGAATACCTCCATAAGGATCGCCGATGTGGGGTTGCCCATGCCTAGCCCGTTTGTTTGCATGTATATGTTGTTGTTAAATTTGAAGTAATTTTGATGCAACGTCGTTCTGAGTGTATTAGTTATCTCTACGGCGATTTCTCTGTTTCCTGTTTTTTTAATCAGTATTTTGAATACGATATCTATTGTTTCCGTTATTGGTATCGATGGGTATAGATCTTTTATGTCGAATGATACCAGTTTAGTATCCATCGTGATCGCTGAGTCTTTTATTTTTTCAATCAATTCCGTTGTATTAGATATTGTGTACTTATTGGGCAATCCAAGGTTGTCCTTTAGTATAGTTTTTAAGTGTTTTGATAGTTTATAGCTTGGGGCCGATCTGTGGTTTATGATTGGTCTCATGGGTGTACCTAGTTTGTGGATTTTAGGTAGTGCATTCATCGGAGGAGCTGATGGATTCATGATTGTCAATGTAAGTATTTGGTTCGGCTTTATTATTTTTGTAGCTTTATTTATGGTATCTTTTATTGTGGCCTGGTTTTCCTCAGTGGGATCCTTTGCTAACTTCTTACATCTAGTTTCTTTGATAAGCTGTTCCGTTTTTTGTATGTATTCATCTCTATTCATTAGTACAGTTGTGTTTCCTTTGTCAGCTTTGGTCGTGATTACGTTGTTGTTTTTTAGTTTCTGCTTCAGACCTTTAATTATATTGCTTTCTTTGCTGTGTTTTTTGTTTCCTTTGGCTTTGATTCCTTTTCAATTAACTGTTTGCACCTGTGTCTAGTGTGTTCCTGTTCCTCTTTCGGCAGCATAGATATAGCTATTTCCGCATCTACAATTGTCTGCTCAATTTC